ATTCAAATAATTTATCTCAGTACTAGTTTAGGTGGGACGATTGTTTTGCGGCCGGCTAAGACATGAGGTGACAAAGAGTGCCGATTGTCAACAAGAGCTTCGAGACGATGGAACTTGTTTACAGACCTGTGTGAGAATACAGTTAAGCATGCGTCTAAACAGGTAGTAGGTCGGGATCACTATTATTGTGGAAATTATAGTGAATTAGTCTACATACAAATAAAAGTCTGATATGTCTGTTGGAAATAACGTTTTCACTGGGAATCGTCTACTGGTGAGACAAATGGGATGAACAGTACTGTGACAGAGCAAAACGCCAGTCACAACAACAGACAACAATTAATAGCTTATACAAGAATCCAATAAGCTTGAAATTCACTGATTTGTGTAAACCTCTAAATAATACCCTCTTTGAGTCACATAAGCATCTGTTCCATGTTCAAATCACACTAAATAACCTTACAAATGCAGGAATCAATGTTGTTCATCTGTTAACAAGATTGTATATTCAAAAATTCGAAAAGCGTCATATTTTCTCAAAGGTTGGAATCACAATCATTTGTCTCTTAGAAGTTAGATGAAGCGGAAGATGTGGATCAGACCTCACGTATTCAGCTACTAATAACTGAGTGTCTATATCAAATACTGTCTATTAAGTTATTCAACTTCTGCATCAGTCTTTGTGTGATAAGGTTTTTAAACATGCTGGTTGACAGGGATGTTATTAAGGAGTTAAACATAGTGGAGATTTAGCCACAGTGTTTTCCTGAGAACTGGACGTTTTTAAAAAAGGCTTTTTACTTATCTGACAAGCTAAGCGGTGTAATAGTAAATACTCACTTAACTCAGAGATTCCGTGGAAGTATTTCACAGGTATATATGGCCTAAGAACTCAGGTTACGCCTGTATATAACAGTCAGTAATTACATAGAAAATAGTAACTGATAGAAATGATTATGCCTTACACTAGATATTTGTCTTGTTGTGTCTGCTGTATGCTGAACCAGATTTGTGCTTTTGGGTAATCAGTGTCTTTCCAGACTGCATATTTCACAATGCAAGTAATACAGGCTACTTACAAGTGATGCATATTATAGTGTGTTTGCTTAATTTCCTCATTTATTGTTTTACGTGTGAACGGAAGAACTTCAAAATATACCTGCAAAACCAATTATTAGTGTTAGATGCACATTGGAGAATGCATTTAATCAGTGATTCGTTGCTAGATGGTGGATGATACTTCTCTGTCTAATGATTAGTGACGGTAGAGCTCTCTGAGTTAAGTAGTTATGACTTGGTCACCAGATTGTGAGGCTGACCTTCTTGGAGGTGTATGAACTGATTTGAAATGATCTGAGGTAGTTGGCAGTTCCACAGTCTTGTTAATCAGAAAGCTTCAGTGGGGGAGAAATTACGTCAAATGACACCTTAATAAAAAATACACAGCTGAATGGAACGTGAAGCAGCATCAGATATAGGTTGGTCACTTGAAATAGGCGTGGTTTATCAAGTGGTCAGTGTTTAAACTTGAAATTGTTACCATGCTGAGTAACTGAAAAATATTCACAAAGAGTTGGTATATACCTCAACATATTTGGGAAAGCTTACATCCTTACCTAAAATTGATACATATTTTTGGTATTTCCCAGTTCAGGAATACAAGTTCACCTGCACAAACGCTTCAAAATTTGGGGTGTTTCTTAAGTGATTCACTATTAGAATGCGCGGCAACCACATAAGCCCTTTGGCTTAAATTGACATCAAACGTTCTATTCAGTCTCGCTTGGCTGGTGTTAAGCTTGATGAAGCGTGAATTTTGCGCGTAAAACGCAACTCCACCGCTTATGAAACTTCAAAGCTCAGACCCCTGTATTCCACTGATAACGCAGGGCGATCAATATATATACATACATATATTATACAGAGGAACATAGTTTAACACGCTGAGTGAAAAGTTTGCAAAAAATGATCATTTGCTTTGAAAATGAAATGTGTTTTAATAATTGTTTTGAGTCAGTGCTCCATGAATTACCTGACTGATACTCCGCTAACTGCTCTACCACTGTGATCTGACGAATAGCTACCAAATTCCTTCTCTAGTCGTTTTGACTTATGCAGTTATCACTTTGATATTCTAGTCAGTAAACTTGGATCGGTAATAATAAAGACACTGTTAAGTTTTTAGTCGACGCTAATCTCCTAGCTGCAGGTATTTAGAAAAGTGATTTTAATTAATTATGCTTTCAGTCACTAATTATATCAAATGAAGAATTCAGTGCCAAAATGAAGCAGACTCATATTCCTGTGATACAGTGACTAGCTACAAAGGTAAAATTACCTTTGAAGTCAGTGTTGTTTTTTTGAAGGTTTTAAAAGCTTGATTGACGGAGAAGAAGAAACGGTAAAAATCATATGCCAGCAGACCGAACTGCTCCCTCTTCCAGAAAATGAGCTACGAAAATTACTACTCCTATGTACAAAGAATATTCAATTCTGATTCAACAATCAGCTGTACCAGCAGATTGACGGGGTGGCTATGGGTTCACCTCTGGGTCCTATTCTTGCTGACATACTCATGGCTCATCTTGAACAGACTCGAATGAAAGAAGAAATAGAAAGAACCACCTATTACTGTAGATATGTTGATGACACGTTTGTGGTCTGCAATGATATAGAACACGCGTCCGTAATGTTTGAGAAACTCAATGCGGCTCATCCCAACATTGCATTCACAATGGACTACGAAAGAAACAACCAGTTCCATTTCCTAGATGTCAACAAAAGAGGAAGAAATGATGGGACGATTCAAAAATCTATCTACAGGAAAAAAACTTGGACTGGTCAATACTTTAATTATCACAGCTTTTGCCCAACCAGTTACAAACGAGGTCCAGTGCAAATGCTCTTCAGCAGAGCCAAAGAAATATGTTCGGAAGACAAGATTGAAGAAGAACTTGCAATCATCGAAAAGAACCTTATCGAGAATGGATATCCCCGAAAGTTCATATTAAAGTATAGAAATGAAGAAGCACACAAACCGAAACCTGACACCGTTGAAAAGAAACCAGTTTTCATCTGCCTAGCGTACAAAGGGGAAGACGTATCCACAAGAACACAAAAAAGAATCACAGGTGCATTAAAAAGAACGTTTCCAGCCGCCAGACTGATCCTATTTCACAACACTGTGTGCTCGTTAACCCAGCCAAAAGTAGATGAGTACCCTCCTCACGTCAATTCCAACTGCATTTACCAATTCACATGCGCCTGCGGAAGCAATTAAATAGGAAGGACTGAGAGGACAGCATCTACTAGATTTTCTGAGCACATTCCTAAGAGTCTCCGTACAAAAGAAAGAAAAGTGTTATCGAGTGCAATGGCCAGACATTTAATTGACACAGGACACACAGTAGAAATTAGCCAAGCCTTCAAAATAATCAATACACACAGAAACCCATGGCTACTTCGCTCCGCAGAAGCCATTGCTATCAAGAGATTTCGACCAAACCTTTGTATACAGAAAGATAGTGTGATCAATCTTTCACTACCTTGGTAACTCTAACTCTATTTTGTTTTGTTTTGCCTTTTTGTCAGTATGCCTGCGTGTTTGTCTTGTTACGTGACATTCTATTCAATTTTGACCTTCAAGTTTCTAAATCTACTAAATTGTTTGTCTGTTTAAGTTAAAAAATGTTACTTCACTATTCACCCCCACCCTCTTAAACTTTCCACCGCAAGATGTGTAAATTCACTCTGTTCTCTGACTCTGACCCTGTAATATGCCTCTGACCAATCTGTGTTTTCCAATAGAAATCCGAACTCTAACCCCCCTTATCTAATTCCACTATATATAACTAGTTGTTTTTTGATAGTGAATAATCTGTCTACCTACATCAAATTCTGGAATTATGTTCCTTGTGCCTTCTATCTATAACTCCAAGTAATTATGAAAAAGTATGTTCCAAAAATTTTTTGAAACTTATAATTGATTTTGTTTAGGATGTATGCAGTTGATGAATATCCATGAAATACAACGAGCTCGTATTATCCTGCAAACATGTTCTTTCTTTCTCTCTTCAAACTAATAAAGGGAACCGGTTGTATGAGACAACCGGATCATCCAGATGGGATGATACAACAACAGCAAGTAAAAGAACAGTTGGACCGTGTAGATCTGTGAAATTACCTACTGTTGACATTCTTCTGAAATGAACTTTGGTGGTTTCATTGACAAGTCGATTGTTGAGTAAACTCTTAAGTGTGTAACAGGTATTTACAAGTTATGTGATAACGGTAGATACCGTTCTAGAATGGAATTGGAATTTTTCCGCGTCGAGTTACATTCGTATTTGACTTTTACGTGCACTGTACCAAATTAGTCTCAGCTTTTGAACAAAACAGCTTTCCAGTGAATGGTCTTGTGCCTTCAATGAATCTGCATATGATGATAATCAGGGGTGAAATTAGTCCCAAACATATTCAGTAAATTAATTTATATTTTTTTCAGTGCATATTAATTGACTATTGAGTAAGTTTATACGAGTTTGGCCGATGAAACTGGTTGGTGTTCGCGCTAAATTACGAATTGGTAGAAGTTAGAATTCATGGGCCATTGAATCGGGTCCCAGTGGCTGAATGGTATACGAGCTTGCCTTGTAACCGGAAGATCCTGGGTTTGAACCCTGGTGGTGGGTGCATACTGTCTATGATTCCCAAACTAGGATGAAACAGCTGTCCACTACTCCGTGGTTTTCAACGGTTCCCTAACTTATATTAATCCGTGATGAAACTCGTATAAACAAATCTAATCCTTACAAATCCATTCTTGAAAATTAATGAGTAAGTATCCAGAGGCTAAATAATAGATTTACCTAATAAACTCTACTATCGTGCATCATATAAAGTTACCGATAGAAATATTTACACACGTAATTGCCTAATCATATGCATAAATATCCATATGCATATGTTAGCACGCACATTAAAACAATGAAGTCGCTTACTTCACGATTAGCTTGAACTGCAATAAATTCTGTATAGATTTGATTGGCTTTCATAGCCAACTTTTTAGGATTTGTTGTGTGCTTGTAATCTTGACAGGCAATCCAAAATTCAATATTCTCATCACTGAATTCAGTACTGAGGAAATCTTTGAATAAAGCAAGTCCATCTAGAAAGAGAAAATCAAAATAATGAGGAACAATAGTAATAATAATAATAATAGATTTCATTGAAAGCTGTTTCAACAGTAATATAAGAAAGAAAGAAAGACAAAAACACTGGAAAATATGTAAATATTTTCAATTTTGAAATATTTTTCATTCAACAGTTCAGAAAAAAATTTACTTTTATTATTCTTATTTTCAAAATTTACTTGTATATCTTAACTGCTTTAAAGTTATTGGAAAAGTGTATAGCTTTCATAAAAGTTGTACAAGAACATGACAAAGTTTTAATGTGATTTTCATTAATTTATTTCAATTATCGGTTTGTGAGGATTTGTGTGGTGACAGGTCCGATTGATCATCAGGGTTGGAACCCTACTGGGTGCATACTGCTGGAGAATCCCGAACTAAGACGAAACGACTGTTTAGTACCCCACGGATTCCAGTGGTTCTATGACTAATGTCAGTCAGTCATCAAATCTGTAATTTATTTCAGTTATTACTGTTGGGAAAAATCTGCCTCCGTAACTAACAAGTTTGATGATAAACAGAGGGCAATGTAAAATTCTGTTATATGACAGCTGGGTATCACTTGTTGAACAGAATTAGTGACCATATTGGAAACTGTGTTGTGTAGCTCAGATAGTAGAGTGTTATGTCGTTAGTTCAGGGACCTCTAGTTTCACTCTCCAGTGACGCAGACTTTGATATTAAGATCACTCCTGGGGTTTCAAGTTGAATATAAGAATTTAGTGGATGATTTCCGATTCACCCGGTATTCTGGCTCAATGACTGCCACAAGTTCTTAATTTCTTTTCACATATTTTCCCCTGTGTAACTTTTGGCAGCCCTACCAGTCACTTCCTGTTCGGATTCCATTCGAAGGACTGGCGTATGATGTCACTCCATTTTCTCTTTAGAGCATGTTCAATCCCTCCTCATTTCTTTTGGCTTAGCAACAGAATATGTTATTTATTGGCTTGCTGTCAGAAATCCTTGATGATTATTTTTTTCGGCCGGCTGGTCATCTTACTTTCATTATCTTTCGATGGGAGTCTGCAGCAGCCTCTTGGAAGTGCTGTCGGTCATGAGCGCACCAAGTCTCTGAACGATATAGAAGTACTGACTTGATATTGATGTTAAAGACTAGATGTAAAATCTTATTAGATATTCAATTCAGTCTTATCTGTTAGAAATAGTATTCACTAAATAAATTTTAATGTTTTTCTCTCTCTTAAACCCATAAAATGTGTACCAGAGGTTATTCGGTAAAATTATGTTATGATTTCAATTTTCATTCCTTCTTCAGTTAACAATATCAGTCCGCCAATCTGAGGATATTTCATTTAGTCTACAGGGTAATAAATAAATTGTTTGATGGAAGAAATTTATTGGAATGACAGTTGTTAAGAAAGTGAGATCGATCGATCGATCGATCGATGCACCAACCACATCCAGACAATGTAAGCTGTCAGATGGTTGTCGTCTTCTAAATGAATGTTATATAGTCTTAAGGACCTGCACCGGCTTTCGCATTTTAGGCTACCATTTGTAGGCCGGTAAGCATTTACGGCCCTCTGTGGTCCTCTGAGTGATGTAGGTTTGTGAAGAGATTTGCCTAGGAAAAAACGAGAAAACCAATCTATCTAGTGGTATTCAGGAATTTTGGTCTTAATTGAAGGTGATGAGAAATGCTTTAAGTTGATGATTAACTGGAATGTAGAAGAAGTGGTATTTTGGCGTTTGCTACTTAATGATAGATATGATTAGTGTGCCCATCAAGGCATTTGTATGTCTGTAAGAAAACCCCTGAATAGTAAAAGAAAGTACTGGGCAGAATAAAAGAAAGATATAATGCTAGTCATGATATGACGGTAAGGTTCGTGATTCGCTTAGCATCAATTTTAAATTATCCTATTAGAGAATGCCGCACTCAGTATTAAAAATAATATCCGAATTTTCGAATTCAATATGGATTCAGTGCCTTTATACGGATCAGAGACTTGGCGCTTCACGAAAGGCGCTTAGGACAAATTACAGACTTTAACCAACTGCTGTCTTCGCTCAATACTAAAGATCAGTTGGCCAGAAAAGATCAATGACAGGGATTTCTGGGAACGAACCGACCAGGAATCAGCTGTGCAAGAAATGGGTGTGGATTGACCATACTCTGAAAAAAAACCATCAAGTGACATCACACGACAGGCTGTTGACTAGAGGCCAACTGGGAAGTGGTGATTTGGTCATCACTGCGAGGATGACATGGAGTAGGTCATGCAAAGAGGAGATGAAATCATGTGAGCAGACGTGGAGGCAGGAGAAAACGTTGGCGGAGAACCGAAAACAATAGATACGTGCAGCTGAGGCCCTATGTTCCTCTAGGAACTAAGGGAGACAATAATATAAAAAAATAGAGAAAATCGCTTTCTCCACCACGGAATGATAAGTCAGTTAAATAATGTTCGAGCAATAAAAGGGTATTCAATGAAACTGGACTGAATTAAACTGTGAAACAAGATAAATTTTGATGAGACTACCTGAGACAGTCCTGCGTTAGCAGACGGATGCCGAAGCATTCAATGAATGCTGAAGTCGCAACAGAAAGCAGGATGTGAGTCACAACTACCAGCACACTAACTGGAATGCGAGAACTGGTTCCTTACCAGGTAATCATTTTATGAAAACTTTTGAAGATAAGAGAGAGGTTTTAGGCTAGTGTCCAAACTGATAAGATGAAAGAACTAAACTCGGCTGCTCAAGATTACTAGGGGAAGATATCACATTAACAACGAAATGCATAATGAGTGACTACAAGTTAGGTTTTGGCTGTCGGATGGCTCTTGATTTTCTACAATGTCACTACCTGTTGTTGCTTTCTTTACTGTCTATATGGAAAGCTGTGTTTAATTCAAAGGTTTCACCCTTCTCATCAGTATCCCTCAGTGAAGTGTTACTACAGCATAACTTAATTGGAAGTTTCAAATCTTATACAACTTGACCAAAAAGAAATTAGTATTCATCTAAAAGATCAGTTTGAAAATGTATTTATTCAATTACTTGTACACATATAAGTGATTTGATCGTTAGACACTATCAAATAATTTACTCTCGTTAAAAATATTTTAATGTAGACCTCATCCCAAACCGACATAATTCGCAGGATCACTGGAAACCAAGGAGAACTGGAAAGATGTTTCTTGCCTACAGGGTCGAGAATGTTGGATGTAAGGTGGATGTTCCTCGACTACACTAGCTAGTGGCTGCGCCATATCAGTGATTGACAGAAATTAGAATTCACACGTCACTGATTTCCCAAAGCACAGTTAAAGAGCTGTCCATTGCTCCCTGGTTTTCCATACAATCTTTGAGTCAGTGGTTCACTGGCACAATGCCAGACAACCACACACCCAGCTCGGATTTGATTCCCGAATGATTCACTTTTGAAACCTGCCTAGCTTACCACCACCGACACCTTTACTGAAATTTCAAAGCTTGAAGCCCTATGTTCCTTTCGAAACGTGGGGAATGCAAAACATTTCCATGGATTTTAAAATCCCTTAGTGTCATTAGGTTTCACTTTTCTAGAACAGTGATAAGTTCACAGATAAAACTCAGGGGAAAATAAAACCAGAGAATAACACTAATAGCTGATATACTGCTTAACCAGTGTCTATAAAGCGTTATATTGTCACTTTTAAGTTATCTACTTGAATGTTGGCTGCTTTTTCTCAAACCTTTTGAAAAATTTGTAACCGATAACTTACATTTATCATTCAGTAAGGCTTCAAATGAATGACCCCAATTGTGTATTTGTTCATAGCTCGGTTTACCAGCACGTATCATACGTTTCAGTTCTTTGACTTGAACCAACTTAGCTCCAGACTGTACAGTTGGTTTAGGTCGGAAGAATTGAAAGCCTCTGATAAAAATAAAAGACAGCAAAAAGAAACAATAACGTTTATTTCAGTGAAAAAATTATAGTCTAATGTTAGATTTGCAAAGGATGGACCGACAGATATTTTGATTAGGTGAAATCAGTTAATTGACCATTGAAAACCAGGAAGCGATTAAGAGTGCTATATCATTTTTTATTATGAACTTTGGGTGATAGAGACCAACGGTTATTTGACAGATGGAGCTAACAGAGGAACAGTGTTCAACAGAACGTGTTGAAGATCTGTAGGAATTTAATTCTGACTTAACTAGTGAGTGTTAACGTGTTCAGAAAGCGTTATATGATGCCAGATGATGAGTTAGGACAACTGAAGAATCCAAAAGTAGGAATAAATGCCACTTCCATGGTCCTTGATTTTCAGTGGTTCTCTTAATAGATAGAAAGCTAACAACATTTTGAATCAAATGACAGGGTATCAGTCACTCACTTAATTTGTGCAACTTAGTCTTCCAGGAGGCTGATCGTTTCTGAACCGTGGCAAGGTTTCTGATCTTTGAAAATACGTCAGTTCCACTGACTTTGTACAGCTTAAGGCAATTAGACACACGCATACTTATAAGTTATCACCCTTTATCACAAATCAGTTGATCTACAAACACATTAATAGTAATTTATAACAGCAGATTAAAGGAGTCGCTCCAAAGAGATATAAAGAAGGAATCTGCTCAAACTAATAGTAAGTTAGGGAAATATATTCATACATTTCAGATTGAAATGACTCAAATCTGTCGATCTAGTCACTACGTTAAATGACACATTAGTACTCTTTTGCTTTGTTTATATGTACATCAGGAGTTAACTGACAATAGGATTAAGATCCTTATTTTCTTCTAACTGATACTTAAGAACAAGGCGCGTTTGCAACTGTGATGTGTACTGAAAATGATAAGATACAAGTAGTATATGGGAAACTTCTTCAGAAAAGCAGTGATGTTTCTAAATGTCAACGGAAAAGTCAAGCAGAGGTTCACAGTTGTGAAGACACACTTACTAGGCAATAGTTGATGAAGAACTAAACTCCCCTAATACCGAATGACTGGTGTTTTTAAGCAAGCGGTACCACGTCTAATGTTATGGTCATTCGTAGTCTGTCTTTATAGACATTAGGGCAGTCTTCACCATTATTAAAAAGAATAAAAGTATTTAAAGGGAAACAAAATGGAACTCACATTTTATTCTTTTTTCCACTGACTCCACTAGTGGCAGTACTGTGTCTAGGTGAGATTGACGAAAAGTCAGCTGGTGAAAATGAATTCCTCAACAGACCCTCGGATTTATCGTGATGAAAATGTTGCCCTGATGATGTCACGGATGATGAGGCAGACTTCTTACCATCATCTTGTAGTGTAGGTAATCGTTCCAGTGATTCGTGTATTGATTCTCTTGTTCGACTGTTTCTTTTATTACCCCTCTGTAGTTGACCGATAAACTCCTAATTAAAATAAGAATAAAAATGGAAAACATGATTTTTGAGGAGAAAATATTTCCTTTGCATGCTAGAGATTCACTTGAGAAGTTGAAACAAAAGAGGTAGGGAATGTGAAATTACTGGAAGCGAGAGAATATTTTAATGAAACGTTCTTCAATTCCTATGCGTCCCGAGGAGAATGCAAGCCTTCAAACTTTAGGTTTGAATTTTCGGTAGCAGTGGTGTCCTTTTACTGGTTGGGGTTGCTAGTCTTAAGCCCAAACTTCCCCCTTTACTGGGCTTACTACCGACTGGGTGTGGTCTAGGAGTGCACATATAGGCAACCGGAGCACTTGCATAGGCGACGAGAACTGTACCAATGAACCACCAATGCAGTTGGAAAAGTGACCATCTATTATTCCCTTAGAAAGATATTTTGTGCTAAAATGCCTAATTTCACAGTAACTGTCTTTATGAATGATTATCACTAAAAAAGAGAAACTGTAAGTGCTTCGACGTAATACTGGACTCATCAGTGACTCATCCTCATGATCTCATAAATATCCCAGCCAAAGCTTGTCAGATTCACTATTCAGTTAGTTAGACCCATCTTTTGAAACTAATTTACTATTTCGTTAATTACTATGATCAGTAGTGATACATAGATTTGGATTTCTCATCTTCACTACTTATCTAACCATAACAGCGAGGATCACGGCTGTCGACTTCTGGAGTGCAAAAAATAATTATTCTTCAACATAATTTACGGTAGGGGTGGGGTTAATCATTGTATAAAATTACTAGCCAACAGAAGCACTGGCCAAGTTAATTAGTTAAGCTGGGGGGATGGAGTCAAGCTCTCAAGTCAAGTGACACTGTGTCGTGTTATGTACTGTTATCTATCTATGTTTTCTAGTTGGCTAAACACGCCTACTAGCCTACACAGTATCGATCCCAAAAGTATATTTCGTTCTGATTTGGTCAAACTATTATTTTCTCAGATAAGTACATTTCCTATGAAGGCTAATATATATATATATATACGCTAACTATAGCGTTGTCGTACAATCTTTTCGCTCTTCAATGCCCACTACAATAAAGTGAACCTCTTACCAATATCATTTTCAACAATAAAAGTGTTGAGGATAAGTGCGTATTTATAGATGAAGATAAGTATTCTCATGAGTAAATTAATTTCGCACTTGATTCTGTTATCATTCATCATTCATCATCAGTTTATGCCCCACTCATCTCGTCTTTTATTGAGTTAGTTTTTAATTAATAAAAAAAAAGGTTTTTCCTATAAGTGATCTCAATGAGGGACATTTATTCACTTATTAGCTACTAAATACTGTTGGAAACAGTTCAAAATCTCGAGTAAACTGAAAGTGGAACGTTTTTACTGTTTAAGTAGCCTATATAAAACCGATTAATATTTGAAAATTAGGCTTTATCAGCAGTGATATATTTATCAGTACATTAGTATTGGATGGGCTAGATTTATCTCTGTTTGTGGAAATTAATATTTGATGGTTATCAACAGTTGGCAAGATGCCTCCAACACACATCAACACGGTGTGTCTTCAAAATCAAATGAACGTTTGTTTCCTCGACGATTCGAACTTACATCACCCATCCTACCATCACAGAGGTCAGTCACTGATCAAATAGGTTATCAGCAGTGTCGCTAAATATAGCTTCAAATTCCATAGAGGGCATCAGTTCCATCATTTTCGGATATATACCATTATGAAGAGTTACAGCAGACGCGAAACCTGTGTTCATGCTTTCCTAGAGATTGTCTCTAACCAATTTAATGTGTTCAGTGGTGAACATTTATCTTGGTTCACATGGCAAACTTGAATGAAAGATTTCCGTCACCACCAAAGACCAGACATGTGAGACTATGTGCCTCTTATAATGACTGATCAATTTAGATACACTCTATTCCATAGCATTGAATGTTGAGTGAATGCAGTTTACGATGAATACGGTTCTACAGATGTCTTAAAGAGTAACTAGTAGTAGTTACGCGTATATGACAGTGAGTAAGTCGTATCTATCATGTAGCAGCGGATCGGAACCCTGAACCAGATTAGAACTTATAGTCAACTGATTAAAAATCAGAGCAATAAAGGAGATCATGGATACATAATAATTAAAAAAAAAATTAACACAGGGCTATATAATGTAAAAGGAGGAACAAAGAAGGAATCATTCGAGAAGTATTCTTTTGAGGTATTATACAATAGACAGCTGATTATACACTGAACTCTACGAAGCTGATAAATCGCACAATACAAGAACAATGTGACTGCCATCGGAAAGCAAATATGTTTACATAAAATTTATTTATTTTTCCACTTCATTAAGATAATCTGTACTATTAATTTTGTTAATATTTTCTCCTTGAACACTTTCCGGGCGTATTGTCTGTAACCACTAGTCATTTAATCGAATGCCCTTTTTGCATTATATAAAACACTTCGTCTTGTCCAACTTCTCAGCTTTTTTATTTAGTGTTTTATATCTATACTAATCTTATTGATTTTGCACGGTTTACATTCCTTAAAGGGTTATGTATACTGCATAACGTATTTCGTTACAATTCGACATCTAACTATGATTATAACTAAAAATATTTTCTCCTAATTATGAATGTTATTATTATCAATGTATATGGCGCTGTGAACCAACATCACTGAAAACCAAGGAACACTAGATAGACAGTTGTTTATTCTTATGATAGAATTCCTCAGTAGTGCTCACGCATGTTTCTCTTAGGCACTGGACCCGGGACTTTAAGGTTGACAGATAGTGTTTAAATTTTCTTATGCGATACGGTTTTCAGAAAATCATATTAGAGCTTGTTAGTAAATCCCTTGAAGGGAGTCTGGATGTTGTTTATCAATTTACATGACAAGAATTATTAAATTGCAAAAAACTAAGAGGGAATTACGAAAAAATAAGCAGTGAAACATTATTTTCCAATGGGAATTATTGTGATTATTAAATTCATTTACTGAATTCAACAATTAATAAACAGTTTTACTAATAATCATTCAGTGATAAAGTATTAAAAATTCAGTTTCATTACTAAGCAAACCAGTTCATTATCGACCAAATGACAAACCAACGTCACTTAGAGAATTAATAAGAAGCAGAGAAACACTGGTCAGGTATTAGGTTCTAGTTTAAGAAATCTCTGCAGTGAACACACACTCACTATCCCACTAAGGATTCAGGGCAGGCAATTCAGGTTACAAGGACTTCCCAGTTATTATTCAGACAGTGACCAGTGAATTCTAAACTTAGTGAATCGCTCAATTATTCTCCAATTGGTATCTGTTTGTGAAAAAGTCTACTTTGAAATGCACTAGTTGACATAGGTGACTGTATAAATTCATCCTTCAAGAAATGAATATTCATTCTTAATGCCAACAAAAATTCGATGCAGTCAGAGTGGGAAATATATATATATTTTTAAAGATTGTAGTGAAACCTATTCATCATAAATCAATTCATATCTGTTCACTAACATAAAATAATATAAGTTTTGCAAAACGAAAATGTTTATAAAACGCCGCTTATTGTATTATATGATAAATTAACATTTTTGGTGTCTTTGAAGGAGGCACTTTTTTAACAGGATTGAAATTGACTGCTGACAGCATCACAGCATGCACTTAAACAATGTATGTGTATACAAATGAATTGGCATAATTCATTCGATTGCTTTTCTTGTTTCACTACAATGTTGTATCGAAATGTAAGCGGGTTTTTCACATTATAAACTAATTTAGGGACAAATTACACAATCCTGAATTGATTTTATAAGGCGTAAAAACCTCAATTTATTTGACTACAAATAATGTTTCTCTTGAGAAAATAACTTTGATGAAGTCTGTGTTTTCCTGTTGCTAGTTTTGTATAATGTATGGTGTGTAACAATTAAACCCAGTTCCTAAGGTACCTTCAAAGGCAATCAACTAATCCCATACATTATAATAAATTCACACGCTTGCCTGGTTGAGACTGAATTGGGAATACAATAAATGTCTCTCTGAAAAGAAAGATTTGTAAAACATCAGGGTATCTTTGTAGGCAGGTGAAATTGCTACAGATCGTTTCTTTCTTCTGGTCTTAAAAAAAACTAGGCGCTAACAAGAATGGTATCAGAAGGTAGCTTTTGAACATCAAAACGAATGTTCCATTAGTATGTAAAGTGGTTTTTAACTCAGGAATGTTGAGACATTATATTAGTTAAGGGTGTAAGGAATCAATCGATAGTATCGTGTGATACTAATCAGGAAAGTATGTCTGTAGTGTTGAGGAACTATATGCTAATTCGTTCCTTATTTCTGAGGTGAGTCACCTCGCCAAAATAACGGTGTGACGGCAAATAAGTGTAATTCATATGTGTATAATTGTGTAGTGTCCACTTTCCGATAAGTAACTAACATTCTAAAACAGTATCCTATGAACACCGCTCACATGAAGTTATCGTATGGATAATAAATAATACATTAAATACTCAGTAAACAGCATATCTTTAAGTAGGAGATATTTTCTTATTAAAAATTATGTGAAGTAGTCCAGCAATCTAATGAACGCCAGTGTAGATTATCTTTCAACTCAACACCCTTATACTCGGCTACAGATTTTTGTAATAGATCAAAGCAATTCCATCCTCCATTGTAGCGTATACTACATAAGCAAATAAACTAACAGAGAAGATAAGTCTTCTTCAGGTGTACAATAAAATTAAAGATGGAGTAGAAACACTTAAGTTAACTTGTATTTTTTCGTTTCAGCATTTAATACAGTGGGTACGGGATTTGTGTCTCAGGGAGAGCATGATCACTCACTGGGCGATGCAAGTACATCCAGCTAACGAATTCAAAATAGGATGAAGTAAACATCAACACCATCAGCCAAAAAAGTAGGTACTGGTCCAATTTTTTCTAGCTGATTTATTTTTCTCTTTTTTCTAATGATAATAATCACCTAAATGTCAGTTGTGT